TATATATATATATATAATATTCTTGCTTGTTTTACCAAATTACGAATTCGTTTTATTCGATTGTTATGACTTGTCTGGTCATCCATATTAACAATTGAGATGTTTTGAGAGTTCTCGTTTAGTGATTGGTGGACGGTAAACCATCTGCAAACTCCTCCAAATAATGTTAGGTGAAATACGTCTCTCGCGAAAATCCACTAGCAATCACAACATCTAGTTTTCCTTCTGCAAATTGAACATTCTGGAATTGAAAACGTCGACGAAGAAAGAGAAAAAAGGTGGGTAAAGACTGAAGATTTATTACTATTTATATGTATCTTTTAATTCTCGTAGATTTCTTTTTACTCTTGTGAAATATTCGGTAAATTTAACACAGTTTACTTACATAATATTTGAGATGAATTGAAATATTTGAAAGGCTCATTTTATTTAAAACAATTATTATGTCAAGCTCTAAAGCTGGTGGAAATGGTTCGTCACTGGACCGACATATAAGCCATATTCGGTTCACAATATACGACATTTTTGTTGTTGTTGTAAATCTGATTTTTCTGACTTTACATAGATTCCAGTAAACCTATCGCCTTTGGTACTGGATCTAGAATTCTTTATATATATATCTTCGGCGTTTAACATTTTACCAGAAGCCGGGACACTAATATTTCTTGAATATGGACTCAAGGGCAATCTGCATCCAGAAATGACCGTTGCCATAACAATACAGCAGGGGTGCATTGTTTTTAACACCTTTGAATAATTAGGGAATTATTTATCTCGTCAATGATGTTGTTTACACCATTCAAATCACTTTTTAGTAGCAACCTCCTAACATGTCCGTCCAAAAAAAGGAAAACATTTAAATTCCTCCATTGCTTGTTTTTATCCATTTTTTTTCCGTTCCCGATATCATAGTTCAGTTAATGAATATTTGTGTAGTTATACTCCTGTATATGGCCTGTACTTGTAGCCGGGCCTGGTCAATCAATCTCTGCATCTCACTTGAATATAACACCTAGTATGCAGTTCAACATTTGCTACTTTCTGTGTTTTTGTTTGTTTGTTTGTTTTTTGTTTTTTGTTTTTTGTTTTTTTTTGCGTGTTTTCAAATCAATCTTCATCAATATAAGAATGTTATGTTTCAGCGAATAAAAAGTATGTTTTTTGCCTGAAGGGTCTCCCGATGCTCGATGAAAATTTATTTGAGCGAGTGTTTGACGTGCGCGCATACATATCAACATAATCTCGCAATATGGATATTGTTTTCTATTTGTCTCTGTGAACTTAGTATTGCGCTTATATAATAAGAGAGAGAAAGAATTATTATTTAATAGAAGCTGAAGTTTTAGTTATGTCGGCAAACTTTTGAAAACTTGCGAAGCATAGACTAACTGAAATCAAAACATCTAATATTAGAACTAAAGCTAATAATGATCAACTTGAACGGAGTCTTGAAGACAAGCATAACTTTCCACTTGAGTGACAAACAACAAAATGTATGGATTTGCATAACAAAAGTTGATCCGAAAAGCCGAACTTAGACTTCATGCCTGACAGGCCTTGTTAGATACTTCATCTCATATCGTTATCTTTGAATTCTTACGGTCCTCGAGCACTAGACAAGACACTTGGTATCTTGGATGGTCCGATAGCTGTTCCTCATCCAATACAGGGAATCGACAACTGTCGGTAGAACCACCCATCATTTCATCAATCAAGACATCTTGAAAGCAAACTGCACTTTTGAAGTTTATCGTCGTTATTTGTAAGGTAGACAAGTTCTTCATTTCGCATCAACATTTTTTCCTTCAATTTACAGTAATAAAACTTCAGGAAGGTGTTCTTAGCTTGAGATGATGTTTGCATGAGTATCTGTGATCGAATAATCAGCAGAGTAACGTATGATACATTATTAAATAAATAATTATTAGCATATTCTTTGTAAATAATTTTATTTTGTCGTTGTCTTTGTCGTTTGTTTACTAGCGCTTAGAACAGATTTGTATTTGCGCTTTATAAATAAATATTATTATTATTAAATATTACTCGCTATCCAACGATGACGCTGCAATATTGCACTTTGTTATAAAAAGATCGCTGACTTTGTTGATTTTCGTTTTTTCTCTCGATTTTTTCAATAGAATCTTTTTGAATCGTCTTGACTCACAATGATTTATTTATTTATTTTGTTATTGTGTCGACAAGAGGAGCAGCTTTAATTTAGAGTTTTCGACTTCCAACTAGAATGTAACGGAATCCGACAAATGCAGACTTACAAGATTAGGCCAGTGCTCAAATAGGTTTTCACGCGACGTGTGAGGGAATTCGGTCAGCAGGGATAACCCTCCTTAGCAGGCCAACCAAATCACTAAATACTCACTTGCATCTGCCTCTCCATATATTAATAGCTACTCAAGTCTCTAAAATAAATTAATAATATCTTCCACCAATGTTCTACGCCCGCACTTCGTAACCTGAGGTTACCTTATGATAATTTTATACGATATATTGTTCAAAAGTTGATCTAATGATTTTAAATCCCCCTCGAATATTTATTAACGTGTTTTTTTTGTTTTTGTTTTTTGTTTTTTGTTTGGTGGTGGACGACCAGCTGTGATATGCGCATCCTAAATCGAGAATCCGATGAAATTTTAAAATGACAATAATAATTGATAATGAGTAAAGGAATGGACATATGTTATATGATATATGCACCTAATCTGAAAAAACGTCGGCTTGAAAAAGGTTATATTATCAAAGCTAAGACCGAAGGGGAGCATGGGAAGACAAACAATTATGCTAATTTCATGCGTATTGCAGTTTTCCCTTCCTGTGCACATTTTATGCATCATGGCTTTGGCATGTTGTTAATCTAGGTCGACCGACTTTGCTCTACTGTGCATTTTTACATGTCTATATAAAAATATAATACACATTTCGGAGTATCCAAAATCCTTTTCGGTCTTAGCTTCGATGATATGACCTTCTCGAACCCGACTACGTCTTTCAATTAGGTGTGTATCTGATAACATGATCTTAGTGGTCACGTGTGAAGATCATAATGCATTCAAGGTTAGAATGATAAATGACGTCATCATCACCCACCGTAGACACAATATAATCAATAACATATAACGATGTTGCTTCAGCTAGCAGGTGACCTTTACCCCTCTCTCTCCATTTAGTAGACAGCTAACAAACCAAGCGACGCTTGCGCCTAACTTGTTATTAGTGTATGACAAGATCAAACACATTAGTCTTGTGTTTACTAGATCTTGCTCCGTATAATGTAACACATTAGTCTTGTGTTTACTAGATCTTGCTCCGTATAATGTAATACATTAGTCTTGTGTTTACTAGATCTTGCTCCGTATAATGTAATACATTAGTCTTGTGTTTACTAGATCTTGCTCCGTATAATGTAACACATTAGTCTTGTGTTTACTAGATCTTGCTCCGTATAATGTAATGCCATGAGCAAAGAGGAAAAAGGGAAGAACGAGTATTGTGCATAGGTTTGTTAGCTTCACCGTTAGTAAGTGTTACGAGGCTCAATCTATCCGTATAGTGTGGCGTCATGTCCAACACCCCAAGGTATGACGACATAACCTATCTGATGTGACGTCATGACACCTTTAAATGGTTCTTATTCCCTTCTCTTATTTGCAGGACCCAGTCTTCACGATGAAGATATCGTACTTCAGCATTGTTTGTTTGCTGGTGACAATTTTTGGTTCGCGAGGTTTCGCCAACGGTAAGCATATTTACCACATTAGTTCGTTAGCCACCAGGCATTTCCAGGAGGTATTAGTAGGGTTCTCAAAGTCTGACATGGTCTATCATTATATGATTTACAGCATACCTTGGATGTCCTAAACCAAACCCATGTATATACTATACTGATAATTCAGCAATCAAGGCCATCGATGTCAATGCTTCCAGATATCCCAACACTAACATACGAACCGTAGTGAAGGCACCTTCGTACGCAATCGATATTGATATGTCCGCTGACATGATATACTGGAGCGAACAGTCGCCATCTTGGAAGATACGTCGAATGAACCTTAAGAATGGGAGAATCGAGGATCTCATTACTAAAGGTGATAAAAAAATATCTGTACCTTTACTTCAGTTTATCTAATCTAGTTTTGTGTTGTTGCGACCTCTTGAGAAAGATTCGGCATTAATGCCATTTGTTCTCAGGGGCGGATCCAGGATTTTTTCAAAGGGGGGGGGGGGGT